TGTTTGTCTCTCTGCGCGTGTGCTGAATCTGTGTGTTTGTCTCTCTGCGCGGGTGCTGAATCTGTGTGTTTGTCTCTCTGCACGTGCTGAATCTGTGTGTTTGTTTCTCTGTGCGTGTCCTGAATCTTTGTGTTTGTCTCTGCGTGTGTGGTGAATCTGTGTTTGTCTCTGCGCATGTGCTGAATCTGTGTTTGCCTCTGTACGTGTGCTGAGTCTGTTTGTCTCTGTGCGTATGCTGAATCTGTGTGTTTCTCTGCGCGCGTGCTGAATCTGTGTGTGTTTGTCTCTCTGCGCGTGTGCTGAATCTGTATTTGTCTCTGCGCATGTGCTGAATCTGTGTTTGCCTCTGTACGTGTGCTGAGTCTGTTTGTCTCTGTGCGTATGCTGAATCTGTGTGTTTGTCTCTCTGCACGTGTGCTGAATCTGTGTTTGTTTCTCTGCGCTTGTGCTGAATCTGTGTTTGTCTCTGCGTGTGTGCTGAATCTGTGTGTTTGTCTCTGCAGGTGTGCTGAATCTGTGTGTTTGTTTCTCTGCGCGTGTGCTGAATCTGTATTTGTCTCTGCGCATGTGCTGAATCTGTGTGTTTGTTTCTCTGCACGTGTGCTGAATCTGTATTTGTCTCTGAACATGTGCTGAATCTGTGTTTGTCTCTGCGTATGTGCTGAATCTGTGTTTGTCTCTGCGTGTGTGCTGAATCTGTGTTTGTCTCTGCGTGTGTGCTGAATCTGTATTTGTCTCTGAACGTGTGCTGAATCTGTGTTTGTCTCTGCGTATGTGCTGAATCTGTGTTTGTCTCTGCGTGTGTGCTGAATCTGTGTTTGTTTCTCTGCTCGTGTGCTAAATCTGTGTTTGTCTCTCGGTGTGTGCTGAATCTGTGTTTGTTTCTCTGCTCGTGTGCTAAATCTGTGTTTGTTTCTTTGCGTGTGTGCTGAATCTGTGTTTGTTTCTCTGCGCGTGTGCTGAATCTGTGTTTCTCTGCGCTTATGCTGAATCTGTGTGTTTCTCTGCGTGTGTGCTGAATCTGTGTGGTTCTCTGCGCGTGTGCTGAATCTGTGTGTGTTTCTCTCCGCATGTGCTGAATCTGTGTGTGTTTGTCTTTCTGCGTGCATGCTGAATCTGTGTGTGTTTCTTTGCGTGCATGCTGAATCTGTGTTTGTTTCTCTGCACGTGTGCTGAATCTGTGTGTTTCTCTGCGCTTGTGCTGAATCTGTGTTTGTTTCTCTGCACGTGTGCTGAATCTGTGTGTTTCTCTGCGCATGTGTTGAATCTCTGTCTGTTTGTCTCTCTGCGCGTGTGCTGAATCTGTGTTTGTCTCTGCGTGTGCTCTGCGCTTATGCTGAATCTGTGTGTTTCTCTGCGTGTGTGCTGAATCTGTGTGGTTCTCTGCGCGTGTGCTGAATCTGTGTGTGTTTCTCTCCGCATGTGCTGAATCTGTGTGTGTTTGTCTTTCTGCGTGCATGCTGAATCTGTGTGTGTTTCTTTGCGTGCATGCTGAATCTGTGTTTGTTTCTCTGCACGTGTGCTGAATCTGTGTGTTTCTCTGCACATGTGTTGAATCTGTGTTTGTCTCTGCGCGTGTGCTGAATCTGTGTTTGTTTCTCTGCGCGTGTGCTGAATCTGTGTGTTTGTTTCTCTGTGCGTGTCCTGAATCTTTGTGTTTGTCTCTGCGTGTGTGGTGAATCTGTGTTTGTCTCTGCGCATGTGCTGAATCTGTGTTTGCCTCTGTACGTGTGCTGAATCTGTTTGTCTCTGTGCGTATGCTGAATCTGTGTGTTTGTCTCTCTGCACGTGTGCTGAATCTGTGTTTGTTTCTCTGCGCTTGTGCTGAATCTGTGTTTGTCTCTGCGTGTTGTGTGTTTCTCTGTGCGTGTGCTGAATCTGTGTTTCTCTGCGCGTGTGCTGAATCTGTGTTTGTTTCTCTGCGCGTGTGCTGAATCTGTTTTTCTCTGCGCGTGTGCTGAATCTGTGTGTTTCTCTGCGCGTGTGCTGAATCTGTGTTTCTCTGCGCGTGTGCTGAATCTGTTTTTCTCTGCGCGTGTGCTGAATCTGTGTGTTTCTCTGCGCGTGTGCTGAATCTGTGTGTTTCTCTGCGCATGTGCTGAATCTGTGTTTCTCTGCGCGTGTGCTGAATCTGTGTTTTTCTCTGCGCGTGTGCTGAATCTGTGTTTTTCTCTGCGCGTGTTTGTCTCTCTGCACTTGTGTTTATTCTGTGTTTGTGTCTCAGGCTCACTGGTGGGCGGTTCTGCTTATGGGAATTGCTCTCATCATGCTCATGGCCGGATTCATTAAGATCTGCAGCGTTCACACGCCCAGCAGCAACCCCAAACTGCCTCCTCCTAAACCACTGCCAGGTAACGCACCTCCTCACTGACATTGTCAGAAAGACCCGTTTCCATGCATGTCAGTATTGAGACGTTTGAAATTGTGTCAGTAGTGGTTTTATGTAGTATAGATACACTGATACCAGCTGTTCTTTCTCACTCTCTCCTCTCAACACGCCGCAGTGTGTGTTTTAATTAAATAAAAATATGCTGTGTGTTTCAGAGTGAAGTGCAGTATTCAAGTGTTTATATCCAGTTTTCAGCATCTCACTTCACAGTAAATGCAGCAAACTCAATCCCTGCATGTGCTGCAAGGTTAACATACATTTTTGCAATGCAACTTTACACTTTTACAATTTCCAACATTTTTGTGGACAAATGATTACAGCAGTTCACACTTTCAAGCATGTAGATTTGTAATGAGATGCGTTTGGTCTCCCTGCAGTTTTCTGCCAAAATAAAATCTTTAACGCTTACAATTGAAGAAATTAACTGTAAGTATTAATTATGTAAGTGTAAAATAAAATATGCAAATTATAAAATGTTTTTTTTTTATTTTACAGAGTAGTGTTATTATAATACTAATCTTAGAAATAATAATAATACGAACTGTATTTAGTAGTATATAATGTTTATTATTGGGATATTATAATAATATTTATTATTATTATTATTATCCCAATCAGAGCTTCAGTTTCAGTTGATAACAAAATAGTTTGACTATAGTCAAAAGTAAATAAACTCAAATTTTATGCCTCTGATTTTTTTGCTTTGCAACAAAAAAAACTATATTTTTTCAATGTTTATTTTTTTATTTAACACTTTAGTTGTATTATAATAGAAGTATATTTCTGTGATACATAAAATTATTTATATCCCAAGAATAAACATTGTATCCCTGTGAATATTATTATTATTATAATCCCAATCAGAGTTTCAGCTGACAAAATACTTTGACTATGGTCAAAATTTAACGAACATTTTCAAATGTTATGCCCCTGATTTTGTTGGATTTTTTGTCCATGGTACCAGAAATCGGGATTTTAAGGTATTGTATCAAAGTTCCAGATGTGGTGAGTGTGAAAGCCGTGTGTTTCTCTGTGATGCTGAAGAGTTGCTCTCTCTCTCTGTTGCTCTCTCTGTCTCGTGAAGGTACGCTGAAGAGACGACGAGCTCAACACGCCAGTCAGCAGCAGCACCATCAGCACCACAACCAGAACCAGAACCAGCACGCTCACGGCCACCAGAACCAGCGGCCGGCTCCACGCCAGGCCCAGCGCCAGCCGCAGCCGCAGCCGCAGCGCCACCACCGGCAGCCCCGCGAGAACTACCAGATGGGTCAGATGAGACGCTGAGAGCCGCCGCCGCTGCCTCATCCACAGCTCCGCCATCCCCCCTCCACACCCCACTCCGTTTGCTCCAGAACCGGCCTGCACTCCAGAGCGTTTCGTTCAGTCTGAGCGTGGAGCGGGGCTTCACTCATCACCACCACAGTCCCGCGTGCGGCGTCGGTTTACAGGAATATGTCCAGAGTCCATAATGCTTCCTCAGACTGGATGAGTAACACCAACTCGCAGCTCTGCCCTTCACTCTGTCGTCTTTGATTATTTCTGTTGGTTTTTTACCCTCGAGTGCCAAGGTTTACCGGGGTATTTGTAGATAGAGCATCTCCTGTTGTCCTTCGTAAACTCCACTCGAGACTCGTGGTTTGATATGAAACATCTTTTTAAGGATTCGTGCGAAGCGTCTGCTCCAGCTGTCGCCACATGCACAGAAAAGGATTTTATTTTGTAAGAGCAGAAATGTTACGCCTTCCCTTTTCCGCAGGCTCGCGGCTGTATAGAGAAACGATATTAGCTGTATTATATGTGAGAACAGATTATTTCTTCTACTGTCAATAAGAGATTTACAGTTGGTTTTGTTGACAACACTCAGGACTCAAAAACACTAACGAAGGTGGCGGCTCAGCGTCACTCCGCCGTTTACATGCTTCATTCTGTGTGCGTTTGTGTTTGTTTGTATATAGCTCCACACCTTTATGGCAAGCCCATTCAACATTTAATCTTCAAACTTCTTGAGCTACTAGTGCTTATTATTGAGGTACTAGTAACTTTTTAAAGGTACTAATTCTTATTCATTAGATAACTAGTACTTATTCGTTAAATACTAGTATGTTTTCCATTAGGTTCTAGTACTCCTTCATTAGCTGCTAGTGCTTATTCTTTAGGTACTAGGTCTCATTATTTAGGAAGTAGTAACTTTTTATAGATACTAGTACTTATTTTAATAGAGACTAGTAACTGTTCTATTGTTGTAGCAACGCATTTAATTTTTTGCAACTTCTGTTATTCAGATATTTACTATTCAGTTTTGACTAGTAATAATTCCAATAGTGACTAGTATGTTTTTAAATAATACTAGTAAGCATTCAATTAGAAATTAGTACTTGTTTATTAAATACTATCACTTTCATTAGATACTAGTATATATTTATTAGACTCCTGTAGTTATTCGTTAGGCACTAGTTTTAGGTACTTCTTTTTTAGACACTAGTGTCTTTTGTTATTGTTACTAGTAGCAATTCTTATTTTACTAGTCACACTTGTTGTTTTTTTTTCTCTTCTTATGTTATTACTAGTCAAAATGGAAAATATTTATAGTAAAATGAAAAATTTTACCAGAAACACTTGGAATAAGTAATAGTATGTAATAGGTGTATAGGAATGAATAGGTACTCTTATCTTTTAAAAAAGGTACTAGTAGCTAAAGATAAGCACTAGTAGCTTATGAATAAGTACTAGCAGTATGAAAGTTAATGCTAGTATGTTATTAGGATTAAATGTTAAAGCGGCTTGCCATACACTCACATTCACCACACTCCACCAATGAGGAACGTGTGCATGAAGAGCAGCGCAAACGTGAGTTTAATGTGTTTTAGCAGGACGATCATGAAGAAACTTTTATAAACGTACGATGGTTTCAGAAGACTGAAGTAACTGAGCATCATGGGAAAAAGCGTTCGGCTCCCAGTGAAGAGGATTCTCTCGGTACTAACGGTCACATTAACATGTTTAGTTTACACACCTTCATCATCATGATGCCGGAGATAGACTGGCCTCGTCACGTCTGACTGTCCACTTCCTCTCATGTGAACTCTGTACAGTAACTGGAGGATTTCTGTTCGATTTGAAGCTACATTTTGATACTGTTCTTTTGTGTTTGTGGAGTCCAGACCGACTCTTCTTTACCGTACTGCCATCAGTGAGGAAGAAACCTGGTTCGGTGGTTTTGCGGCGGTCTGGATCGAGGGAGATCTGAATATTTGCCTGTATTTTGACTTTATTTCGTTTTTACGTAGTCTTGGTGAAACTTCATAGAGGAAAAGTGCACTGAAAAAAAAAACGTCTTAATTGAGTCCAGATGTTGTAGGAGAAAAAAGGCTGAACACTAAAATTGAGAAACGAATGAAAGACCAGATTTAAAAAAAGATTAATACTGCTGTCTGTTAATGTTCACTGTGTTTTATACAGTACCTAAATTTTTGTTCACTTTGAACATTTTTACGTAACATTTCAGAACGTATTGTGCAAAGAGATGTAATTTTTTTGGAGTACTTGAACTGCATTAATAAACAGACTGGGTTGAAGCGCTGCTGTTAGCGTTCTGATGTTTGATCCGGCAGCGTGTGAACTCCTGCTGCTCCGAGATCCTGAGACGAGAGCCTCCAGTGGACACGCCGCAGAACCACGTCCTGAACAGAGAGATGAGGAAACATACCCTTCTTACAAATCAGTGTGACCCTGGACCACAAAACCAGTCATAACGGTCAATTTTGTGAGTTTGAGATTTATACTTCATCTGAAAGCTGAATAAATAATCTTTCCATTGATGTATGGTTTGTTAGGATAGGACAATATTTGGCTGCGATACAACTATTTGAAAATCTGAAATCTGAGGGTGCAAAAACATCTAAATATTGAGAAAATCATCTTTAAAGTTGTCCAAATGAAGTTCTTAGCAATGCATATTACTAATCAAAAATTAAGTTTTGATATATTTACGGTAGGAAATTTACAAAATATCTTCATGGAACATGATCTTTACTTAATATCCTAATGATTTTTGTCTGTTAATGTTCACTGTGTTTTATACAGTACCTAAATTTTTGTTCACTTTGAACATTTTTACGTAACATTTCAGAACGTATTGTGCAAAGAGATGTAATTTTTTTGGAGTACTTGAACTGCATTAATAAACAGACTGGGTTGGAGGGCTGCTGTGCGCGCTCGAGTTTGTGATCCGGCAGCGTCTGAACTCCTGCTGCTCCGAGATCCTCAGACGAGAGACTTCAGCGGAGACGCCGCAGAACCACCACCTGCACAGACCGGATCAGAGAGGGTGAGATAGAAGTAAATACAGGGTTCCTGCTGATCTTTGCTGATCTTTACTGATCTTAATTCACAAATAAATTATCTTAAATCATTTTGCTGCTCTAGTAAATGTATCTTGATTTAAGCATCTGTAGACTATTCTACTGGAAAACAAGACAAAAACACTGAAGATGGAAGGTTTTTTGGGGAGGAAATAAGTCTCAAATAATTAAACTTGGCTTAAGCGTTCACAGTAATGTCTTCAGACCCAGTTATATGCTTCTGAATTATGACCTGAAGTGAGATCATGAATTATTAACAGCAGTTTTTCTCAGAGCAACTGCTTGTTCAGCCTCCAAATCATGGAATCCCTTCGCATCATGAAAGCAGTTTCTGATTCGTGCTTTGGTTCATTCATGCAGCTGATTATGTCGTTTCTGATGCACGATCAGTCTGCTGAACATCTGAGCAGCCGTTCATAACGTCACCGCACTAAATGTTGCATGCATTACAAAAGCAATGTCTTAGATATTTGTACTGAAGAACAAAAATATTATGAATATCCTTAAACCAAGATACATTTACTGGAGATGCAAAATGAAAATATGAAGTCTTGAAAAAATGAACAAGATGTTTGATTAAAACGAACAAATATCTGTCAGAGGGGAATGAAAACCTGTTTCCCTTTGAATGAAGTTGATTTTTCTGACAGGTATTTGTTCTTGTGTTAATCATAAACTAACTTCATTTTGACAGCAAATGTTGCTTGCTTTTGTCAGTCTTGATTAAAATGCTCTTGTCATCTGAATTGTTTGTTTTAGTCTAGTTTAGAAAATCAGATTTTAGTCGACTAAATTACAGTACATTTAGCTAAACTGTAACGCATTAAGTATTTCTCTATAATTTCTTCTTTATTCCGTATTTTTTTTTATTAATTGACAAAAATTTTGAGTAGATTTTCATCAGTCTGACATTTCTTTCACTGACAAAAATGAGACGATCACGTCGTTCTAAACTCTTTTTTTACGAAGTTATGAAAAATATTGTCAATGAAATGAACACTGCTTCTCATCTTGTCATTTTTATTCTCCAGTAAATGTTTCTTGATTTAAGGATCTTCAGACATTTGCATTGGAAAATGAGACAGAAACTCTGAGGAAGAGCAGCAGTTGTTTTGCAGAAGATACAGTAAAAGTTATTTCATATTCTAGTGATTGTTAGCAGAGATATTCAAGACTTCGGCTGTTTAATTTTACAAAGTAATTTTCCAATGTTGAAGTGTTTCTAATGTAACTCATTAGAGACCATACTGACGTGTTGATCCCTTCGATTTACTTGGTCTTAAAAAGGTCTTAAATTCCTCTTCATCAAACCTGCAGAAACCTGACAAGTCATTACATGAAAAGAGTTGAACCAGGAGTCAGCTTTCACTAGTGAAGGTGGACGACTGTAAATCTCCAAACTGTTCTAATAAAGGCACATTTCTGATGTTTGTTTGTCTAGGTTTGTATTTTTTCCTCTGTGCTGTGAAAGTCTTATCTTTTTTCTGTATCACAGTGACATTATACTGTAATTTGTTGACCGTGTAAATGTGAATCCTGTCCAGTCTCCTAGATGAAATATGACACATCCTGTAATGTGTGAGTTTGTCCAGCTGGAACTGATATAATATGCAGTGTTTTCAGTCTCTGTTCAGAACAGGAAACACACAGAGTAACGCCGGTATACTGACATACAACAAAAAAATATACACTATATATGTATTAAACAGTGAAGCTCAGTAAAATATGCTTTTGAAATTGAAAATGTATTTTGGTATATGAAGGTTTAAAACATGAGAAAACAAATGTTTTACAGATGTGGCTAGAATAGCCTAATAGAGATTTTGTGTCCACTATTAAAATGAATCATTTTCAATATTTACATTCTGAAATGGTTTATATAATTACACACACACACACACACACACACACACATATATATATATATATATATAT